CAGAGCCAACTTGTTTTGTCCTTCCCTGTCGCTCACCCGCTCCTGCCAGAGTCATTGTAAAGCCTCGAGAGTCCTTGGGCTCAGAACTCATTATAAGGGGGTGTAGGGGGGAAAACTTTCGGTCTAATCCATGATTAAATGCAGAGTACAGCCCACACCAGACCGGCCCAGTCGCGTGCATTAGGCATGGGGCGATGGCGATGGACAAACAGGTTCAATCATTCAAGAAAAGCTACATTTCCCTCTCTCTCCCTTTCTCAAACTCTCGCTAGTCGGCCGGAAGTTATTCTCGCTCCCAACCAGTGCACCGTGTTGGCCAATACTGTGGCTCTCTCTCTTAATGTTGTGCACTTCCGGCTGAAGAGATCTGGAGCAGGAAGCAAACGAAAAATCAGAGCTTAAGCTGAACAATTTTGAGAGCCGATTGGCAGCTGCATTTACAGAACTCCTTTACAGGATTGAAAAGTTAAGGCCTGAACACAAATAAATTACACATTTCTGGAGCCACAAGTCTATCAGAAAAAGTTATAGTCAAAAAATCAACAAGTACATTTATCTAGCAGAGGACTATGTCAGCGGAACAATCCTGATTAACGCTCATTCATGGAACTAAAAGCGCTTTATTGGCAGGCTCTGTTTTTCACTTGGTTTTGCGTTTTCAGCCAAAACGTTCCGTTTAAGGTGCTCCCATTTTCGCAAATTTTAGTCGCATTTTCTCGTGTTCTGTTAAACACTCAATTAAGTGCTGTTAAGCGCACAATTAAATGCTGTTAAGCGCACAATTCAGTTCTGTTAAGCGCATGTCCTGTTATTGCGCGCTCAAAAACCTCTGTTATGTGTAACACCCGATGAAGTATTGATAACCGAATCGGGCTGCGTCCACTGTTATCACGAAAACGCCATTCCAGACTCATTATTTCAGAACCAAACTTGAGGTTGGGCTCAAAAAGTATATATAAAGAAAACAAAAGCTAAACTGCCCTAAAAATGGTGTCAGTTATATGTTAATGCTTCATTAGATCATCTATTTTTTTTTTTATTGCAATTAAGATTTGTTTTGTTGTTTTGAAAATTTACTGAAATTTTGTCTGGCGTCATTCGCGTCTGTGCGGTGGCATTCTGCTTTAGTAAACACATTTCTCATCCTAAATTATCTTTACAACTGGAAAGCCTTGAAGGAACTTATTTGCCATATATAGTAGGTGTTTCTTTTTCCGCACGTCAATCAGAATCAACTTGTTTTGTGCTTTGAGGCTTGAGGTAAATCAAGCACACAAAATTTTCAAAAATAATTTTCAAGAACAAAAAAATCAAGCACACAATTTGTTCCAATTATTGTTCCGTAACTTATCTATCTATCTATTATGGCTGACCCAACCTCCATTAAGGGAGAGATCCTTGAGATGACTGGCGAGCATGTGGAGCAGCTCCATTCAATGTGGTCCCTCATGTTCGAGCCGAAGAGATGCGAGGACTATCTACAAAAACTCAAGGCGCACGCGGATATCTTCTATACGGATGTGCTGACTGAGTCGCGGGAGCAGCAGACGGCCCTCCTGGATAACATAGCCGCACTCCGAGCCGAGGCCAGCGACCTCACAAAACTCCTCCATGAGACGGTGGACATTGGTCAGAGGCCCGACGGTGTGCCACTGATCATATGGCAGCTGAAGCTGGACAAAAGCATTGAGCATCTGCGCGAGGAGCTCTCGAAACGTCGGGCGGAGATCGGGGAGCTCCTGCTCCAGCAGGAGCAGCTCTGCGAAAAGCTGGGCGCACTGCCGCTCCCTCTACTGGCGGACCCGCTGCCCCTGCCCGATGAGATGGACGGCTTTCGCGACCATCTCGACTACCTGCGCTCTCAGCGCGCAGTGCGCCAGACGGAGCTGGACCAGCTGCGCAAGGACATCAAGCATGACATGAGGATGCTCGAGCTGGTGCCCCAGACCGATGCAGAGGATCGCCTACTGAACGATCTGAGCCACAATCTAACACCAGAGACACTAGAGCGGCTGCGGCAGATGCGCAACAGTTATGCCGAGCAGATCCAGGAGCTGCGCTCCAAAATCCATGACATGCGCGAGAAGATCTACGTGCTGTGGGATCGCCTCCAGGAGACGGACGAGAGCGCCATGCGACGAGTGCGCGAGTGCACCGAGAATACGCAGCGCACCTATGCCATCCTCCATTCGGAGCTGCAGCGCTGCCAGGCACTGCGCAGCCAGACCCTCAAGACGTTCATCGAGCAGCGGCGCGTCGAGATAAGCAAGTGGTGGGATCTAACGCTCAAGAGCCAGCAGGAGCGCAATCGCTTCTCCAATTTCTACAATAATTATTACAGCGAAGACCTGTTGGAGCTGCACGAGCTGGAGCTGGATGATCTGAAGAGCTTCTACACGTGCAACAAGGAGATTTTCGATCTATACGAGAGCCGTGAAGAGCTTTGGTCCCGCATGCAGGCTCTAGAGGCAAAGGCCATTGAGCCGAATCGTTTCAACAATCGTGGCGCCCAGCTCCTTAAAGAGGAAAAGGAACGCAAGGCCATCACCTCGAAGCTGCCCAAGACTGAGCAGCAGATAACTGAACTGGTGCACGCCTATGAGGTGAAATCGCATGGCTCGTTTCTGGTTTATGGCGAGGACATACTGGAGCTGATGGCTGGCGAATGGGAGAACTATCGCCAGGCCAAGCAGAGCTCGGTCCCCAAGAAGGCCCCGCCCACCACGAAGACGGGCAGCAGCAGCAAATTGGGGATGCCACCGGCGACTGCCGGTTCAACGGCCCCACGCACGCCCCGAACTTTGAAGAACATGTCCTCAATGTCGTTGCGCAAGACCCCAACAATCCAGCTGATCACTCCCAATATGACCAAGAGCACTGGAAATCTGCACAAGCGGCTGAATCCATCAGCAGCCAAGCTGATGGCCTCCAAGTCGCCACTAAAGCAGGTCCGCTTCCTGGACAACACATTGTGTCGCAGCGGGGGATTGGGCAGACGCAGCCTTGGCACACGCTCGAACAAGAAGCCGGATACAAGATCGCCCAGCGATTCCGAGTATATGACCGATGAGACCACTGAAAATGACCGCCAAGCCGGGATCTCCTATGACGAATTTGTGCCCACGAGTCGCTCAGTGCTGCCCGTCGGCGGGGCTCAGCGTCAGCGCACTCGCGTGGCTGTGCCACGAATTCGCAATGTCCTCGTAAACCACAATTCGGTGGCGTCGGCCGCCAGCACACCGTCAAAGCAGGCGGTCAATCAGGAGGAGAAGCCTCGATTTGGCAATCAATTGAAGCTCCCGTCGCCACGTAAAAGTCGCATGTGGCCGAATCCACGATATTACTACTAAAATTTACCTATGTTTTCAAATTTTTATTTGCGTTTTATGTTTGATTTTATTTGTTGCACCTTTATCTGTTTATCTCTGTTTCATTTATTTTCGATGTTGCCCAATAAAAATTGAATTATCTTCAAGAAGGACAACCGAACCACACAAACGGAAAAATTATGCGTCTCTCGAAAGCGGGAGCATCAATTTTTGCGTTTTCAAAACTAAATCGGAATATCTGCCTGAGGAAAACAATTGATAGAAATCCTTTGTATGCTCGAAAGGAACTTTAATAATAATTTCGATTATTCGGAGTATTCTGCTGATGAAGAGCTTTCCTCTATTTCCAGTGCACTTGACGTCAGCTCATGGAATGATGTATAATTTGATGATGATGATTGCATTTATTAGATGAGGTGTAGGGGGGAAAACTTTCGGTCTAATCCATGATTAAATGCAGAGTACAGCCCACACCAGACCGGCCCAGTCGCGTGCATTAGGCATGGGGCGATGGCGATGGACAAACAGGTTCAATCATTCAAGAAAAGCTACATTTCCCTCTCTCTCCCTTTCTCAAACTCTCGCTAGTCGGCCGGAAGTTATTCTCGCTCCCAACCAGTGCACCGTGTTGGCCAATACTGTGGCTCTCTCTCTTAATGTTGTGCACTTCCGGCTGAAGAGATCTGGAGCAGGAAGCAAACGAAAAATCAGAGCTTAAGCTGAACAATTTTGAGAGCCGATTGGCAGCTGCATTTACAGAACTCCTTTACAGGATTGAAAAGTTAAGGCCTGAACACAAATAAATTACACATTTCTGGAGCCACAAGTCTATCAGAAAAAGTTATAGTCAAAAAATCAACAAGTACATTTATCTAGCAGAGGACTATGTCAGCGGAACAATCCTGATTAACGCTCATTCATGGAACTAAAAGCGCTTTATTGGCAGGCTCTGTTTTTCACTTGGTTTTGCGTTTTCAGCCAAAACGTTCCGTTTAAGGTGCTCCCATTTTCGCAAATTTTAGTCGCATTTTCTCGTGTTCTGTTAAACACTCAATTAAGTGCTGTTAAGCGCACAATTAAATGCTGTTAAGCGCACAATTCAGTTCTGTTAAGCGCATGTCCTGTTATTGCGCGCTCAAAAACCTCTGTTATGTGTAACACCCGATGAAGTATTGATAACCGAATCGGGCTGCGTCCACTGTTATCACGAAAACGCCATTCCAGACTCATTATTTCAGAACCAAACTTGAGGTTGGGCTCAAAAAGTATATATAAAGAAAACAAAAGCTAAACTGCCCTAAAAATGGTGTCAGTTATATGTTAATGCTTCATTAGATCATCTATTTTTTTTTTTATTGCAATTAAGATTTGTTTTGTTGTTTTGAAAATTTACTGAAATTTTGTCTGGCGTCATTCGCGTCTGTGCGGTGGCATTCTGCTTTAGTAAACACATTTCTCATCCTAAATTATCTTTACAACTGGAAAGCCTTGAAGGAACTTATTTGCCATATATAGTAGGTGTTTCTTTTTCCGCACGTCAATCAGAATCAACTTGTTTTGTGCTTTGAGGCTTGAGGTAAATCAAGCACACAAAATTTTCAAAAATAATTTTCAAGAACAAAAAAATCAAGCACACAATTTGTTCCAATTATTGTTCCGTAACTTATCTATCTATCTATTATGGCTGACCCAACCTCCATTAAGGGAGAGATCCTTGAGATGACTGGCGAGCATGTGGAGCAGCTCCATTCAATGTGGTCCCTCATGTTCGAGCCGAAGAGATGCGAGGACTATCTACAAAAACTCAAGGCGCACGCGGATATCTTCTATACGGATGTGCTGACTGAGTCGCGGGAGCAGCAGACGGCCCTCCTGGATAACATAGCCGCACTCCGAGCCGAGGCCAGCGACCTCACAAAACTCCTCCATGAGACGGTGGACATTGGTCAGAGGCCCGACGGTGTGCCACTGATCATATGGCAGCTGAAGCTGGACAAAAGCATTGAGCATCTGCGCGAGGAGCTCTCGAAACGTCGGGCGGAGATCGGGGAGCTCCTGCTCCAGCAGGAGCAGCTCTGCGAAAAGCTGGGCGCACTGCCGCTCCCTCTACTGGCGGACCCGCTGCCCCTGCCCGATGAGATGGACGGCTTTCGCGACCATCTCGACTACCTGCGCTCTCAGCGCGCAGTGCGCCAGACGGAGCTGGACCAGCTGCGCAAGGACATCAAGCATGACATGAGGATGCTCGAGCTGGTGCCCCAGACCGATGCAGAGGATCGCCTACTGAACGATCTGAGCCACAATCTAACACCAGAGACACTAGAGCGGCTGCGGCAGATGCGCAACAGTTATGCCGAGCAGATCCAGGAGCTGCGCTCCAAAATCCATGACATGCGCGAGAAGATCTACGTGCTGTGGGATCGCCTCCAGGAGACGGACGAGAGCGCCATGCGACGAGTGCGCGAGTGCACCGAGAATACGCAGCGCACCTATGCCATCCTCCATTCGGAGCTGCAGCGCTGCCAGGCACTGCGCAGCCAGACCCTCAAGACGTTCATCGAGCAGCGGCGCGTCGAGATAAGCAAGTGGTGGGATCTAACGCTCAAGAGCCAGCAGGAGCGCAATCGCTTCTCCAATTTCTACAATAATTATTACAGCGAAGACCTGTTGGAGCTGCACGAGCTGGAGCTGGATGATCTGAAGAGCTTCTACACGTGCAACAAGGAGATTTTCGATCTATACGAGAGCCGTGAAGAGCTTTGGTCCCGCATGCAGGCTCTAGAGGCAAAGGCCATTGAGCCGAATCGTTTCAACAATCGTGGCGCCCAGCTCCTTAAAGAGGAAAAGGAACGCAAGGCCATCACCTCGAAGCTGCCCAAGACTGAGCAGCAGATAACTGAACTGGTGCACGCCTATGAGGTGAAATCGCATGGCTCGTTTCTGGTTTATGGCGAGGACATACTGGAGCTGATGGCTGGCGAATGGGAGAACTATCGCCAGGCCAAGCAGAGCTCGGTCCCCAAGAAGGCCCCGCCCACCACGAAGACGGGCAGCAGCAGCAAATTGGGGATGCCACCGGCGACTGCCGGTTCAACGGCCCCACGCACGCCCCGAACTTTGAAGAACATGTCCTCAATGTCGTTGCGCAAGACCCCAACAATCCAGCTGATCACTCCCAATATGACCAAGAGCACTGGAAATCTGCACAAGCGGCTGAATCCATCAGCAGCCAAGCTGATGGCCTCCAAGTCGCCACTAAAGCAGGTCCGCTTCCTGGACAACACATTGTGTCGCAGCGGGGGATTGGGCAGACGCAGCCTTGGCACACGCTCGAACAAGAAGCCGGATACAAGATCGCCCAGCGATTCCGAGTATATGACCGATGAGACCACTGAAAATGACCGCCAAGCCGGGATCTCCTATGACGAATTTGTGCCCACGAGTCGCTCAGTGCTGCCCGTCGGCGGGGCTCAGCGTCAGCGCACTCGCGTGGCTGTGCCACGAATTCGCAATGTCCTCGTAAACCACAATTCGGTGGCGTCGGCCGCCAGCACACCGTCAAAGCAGGCGGTCAATCAGGAGGAGAAGCCTCGATTTGGCAATCAATTGAAGCTCCCGTCGCCACGTAAAAGTCGCATGTGGCCGAATCCACGATATTACTACTAAAATTTACCTATGTTTTCAAATTTTTATTTGCGTTTTATGTTTGATTTTATTTGTTGCACCTTTATCTGTTTATCTCTGTTTCATTTATTTTCGATGTTGCCCAATAAAAATTGAATTATCTTCAAGAAGGACAACCGAACCACACAAACGGAAAAATTATGCGTCTCTCGAAAGCGGGAGCATCAATTTTTGCGTTTTCAAAACTAAATCGGAATATCTGCCTGAGGAAAACAATTGATAGAAATCCTTTGTATGCTCGAAAGGAACTTTAATAATAATTTCGATTATTCGGAGTATTCTGCTGATGAAGAGCTTTCCTCTATTTCCAGTGCACTTGACGTCAGCTCATGGAATGATGTATAATTTGATGATGATGATTGCATTTATTAGATGAGGTTGGTGCCTTTAACCCCATCCGGTCGCTGCTCGTTTCCATATCCGTTTATTTTTCTGATTCCGCTTCCATTTGAGCTTTCATTTCATTTCGGTTCGCTTCGGCTTCCCTTTCTGTGTACTCGTACTCCGATTACTGGCCGGGTTTTTATGGGCCCATTGTCAATTTAAAATTTGGCTTTGACTCAGTCACGAGCCTCCTTTGAGTAAATCAAATGGTTGTCGTAAATGCCATGTCCCTGGCTGATCCCGGCCTGAACTGTTCTTTATGGCCCCCATATAAATCCTATTTTGTTTATCTTAATTTGCCTAATACGAGTTCTTTTTATGCTGTGCGAATCGACTCGGCGGAGCACGAATGTTCCCGGCATAAAAATCGATCAAGTTTTCCTTTTCATTTTTTGTTTTTTTTTGTTTCTTTTTTTAACATTTTTTATTAATTTGTGACCGAGAAGTGTTCATAAAAAAAAGAGAAGAGAGTTTTGTCGTTGGTTGCCTTTCGTTTGGGTTCCTTTATTGATTTTCCCGCTGAAGAGCCGCCCAGGGGGCGGGAAGGAGCCGAGGACTAATCCCGGCCAGATATACGTACAGACACACACACATATAGGAGTATATTTGGCTGCATGTGTGTTCGTGTATATTGATATGCTCAAAGCGAATATTAATTTCAATTTGAATTGAAAAATTCAATTGGAAAAGCGCACAATGAAGGCAGAAAGGCAGGAGGCAAAGGGCAGGCCATCGGCCGGGCAGGGTATCCACGTTGTCAACAGCCAGGTCTCCGCCCTGCCCCCCACTTCCTCTCAGTCCGACTTTGAAGAGCCAGCCTTCCCGTTCCATGACAATCGCTTCTTTATTTTCTTCCGATTTGTTTGGCCTTCTAAGCAGATTTTAATTTTGGGAATAGCGGAGCGGATGAGATGGCTCTCGTCGAGCACCTTTCGAAAACACAGGAAATAGCTCAAATTGAATTCAGTGATTTCCTACGCCCAGCAGTTCGCATTTCAGCAGCAGCTAGGGTCTCGTCCTCTGGCCTGCATCCTGTGGCCTCTCAAGTGCATTTAAATTGCTCGTCTGTACCCGGTATTGTAAATGGGAATTGAATTCGCAAGCTCCTAAACGGCTTGTACGATTTTGATGGAATTTTGCTCCCCAAGGAACCAATCCGAAAATGTTCTACCCAAGCGAATACCTGAGATATAGCATGAGCACAATAAATACACAATTTTGCGGCTAGTTTTGTGGGCATATTTTTATTAATTTAGTTCTATTAAAGATAGCGTAATTTTATTTTTTTGTGATTTTTACTTTTAGGTGAAATTTTTTAGCTAAACCACGAAAACATCATACTGTTTAAAAATTCTTCTTGTATAACCATTTGTCCTCTTTACTTAACAAAAATAATTATCAAGATATCTTTCACCAGTTCGGCGCCAGAATTCCTAAAGTTTAGTCGCTTATGCATGGGCTCTTAATGGATTAAATGGTTGTTTATGGTTATGTTTCTTGCTTATCAAGTCTGGTTCTGGTTTGAAAATCTCTGAAGTAAATAAAGTTTTAAACACTCTTTCTGTATGCAAATTTCGTATGTCTTTCCTCTATCCACTCCTTATTCCATAACCAGTAGCAACCTCTAGTCTGCGATAAGTTTACCAAGAATCTCGTCGCCTAACTATAAATATTTCCAGTAGATGGGAGCGAGAGTGTTCAGCGGCTTTCTAATCTGGAATTTAGTCAATGCTTATGCTTTTGCGTCGAACACATGGCGTATACTTAATGGCCAATTGGTCCTTGTGCCCGAATAAGTAGACTACGTTTTCCACGACTTTGCGCACACATAATTCTCTCTCCCTCTTTTCCCTGTAAGCCTTTGAAACACACACTGGTGTAAGGCCAGAATCATTCAGGGGCAGCAGGCAGAAAAGGTTTTCCCAGAAGCCACCGAAGCAGCCTCAGCCGACGTCGCCGTCGACGGGACGTCGTTATCCCTAATGCTTGATGGCTTGAATAAAAGCTTAATAAATATTGTGCGCGCCCAACTTTTTTGGAGGACAAGCCATGACGACGACGACAGGGGACGAGGACATCTCCTTGGCTTCGCCATGCTGTTGCTGTTGCTGTTGTCCTCGTCCGTTGACGACCCAAAAACAGTAAGGCACGGCACGCAGGAAGTGCAAATACCCTGCCATAAAGCCGTGTTCCTGGGATTGCTACAGGTACAAGGTATGGGTGGGGACTTTCGCGGGTTTCCCAGCGCCAAGTCCAACTGAAGGACTCCTTGGGAAGCGCACAGATTCGTTGCCTTCGCTCATTTGCCTCTGTGGCAGCGCCAGGTTGTTATGCGTGTGTATTGGTGTGCCTGCGTGTGCGTATTGGTGCGCGTGTGTTCGAGCGACTGGCGGCAAACATTTATACGAAGAACACAATTTTTTTTTGTCATTTGTCTTAAAGCCACAAAAGGAAAACGGGAGGGAGGACGAGGGGGACTTTGACTTTGTTCCCACAAAGGTGGTAAAGGGAGGCGGGGGGTGGTGGGGTTTCAGCTGTTGACTCTTAAAGCTCTTTGTTGGTAGCAACCCTCCCAAAGCTTAGAAACCGCCAAATTTCGTCAAAATGTAATCCATTTTCCCTGGCAATATCCTTGAGGAAATCAAAGAATGGACGCCTGCCAAAGCTCTCTTGGGCGCAACCTGGCGCCTCCCTTCCACCCACACGAGAGGTCTGTCTGTGTCCGTTCAGGCGAAAGGATTGGGTGAGAACATTGACACAGTAAATGAGATGTGAAAAAATGTCGGATGGAAATCATTTTACAAAAATATTCCCCTGATTGGTGTGAGATTTCGTTTCAAGTTTTCAAAAATTCTTTTCAACAGAAGGAAAAGGGCAATCGAGTTCCATAGACAACGAATAAATCCCCTAGTGCCCTGAAGTGTCCTTTGACAGTGTTTTGTACAGTCACGGGTCTCTCTGTCCAGGTGAATAATTTTCTGAAATACTTCTGAAATTGGCATCACCGTCAGGTAGACACTTTAATCTGTCTCGCACTTAAATTGGGGCCCTCGGAGGAGAGCTTCCACGGGTATATCCCCCACTCAAGTGGACACCAAATTCATCAGGCCCTCCGGGCATTCGCCTGTGGGAGCATTCAAGTGGATGCCTTTATTTTATTCCTTTGCCGCACACACACACACACACACACACACACACACATACATTTGTGTTTTTGTGTGGTCTAGTGTAAGCCAGTTTCTGCTCTAGACCGAAATTCGATAATTGCCGCTTTATGAAGCCATAAATTAGATGAACACATTAGAAAGAAAGTGCAATGGGATGGGGAGTGGCTTTCCCGGTTTCCCTGTTTCCCGGTCATGGGGGCAAAGTTGGAGGAAAGTTTTTTGCCGAGCATCAAAGAGCTCACTTACACTCACCTCAGCACACGCACACACACACGCACACACACACGCACACGCACACGCCTGCTAATTGCTTTGAAAACTGAGGATGAAAAATACATGAAAATTGTGTAATTTTGGCTAATTAATTTTCATGCTTTTTGATAACTTTCGAAACGGATGAGCGAAACGAAACGAATGCCACAGGGGAAAATAAAATCAACAAAATCAAGAGCAAAACTTTTGGCAGTAAGCCAGGCCAAGCTGCTCTGCTCTGCTCTGCTCTGCGCTGCGCTGCGGTGACAAATTTTTATGTCAATTTTCTTATGCAAATCAAGTGGCAAAACAATTGACAAAGTTTGCCTAAGACATGGACAGAAACACACAAAAAAAGCAGAATTTTCTCCTCGGGGAAAAGGGGAAAAAGCAAAGAAAAACCCAGGGAAACCCAGGGAAACAGCAGCGAACAGTAAAACCGGCCGGGCGATGAAAAATCAACAAGAATATAAGAATATAAATATGCAAATGAAAAGGCAACGCAGATGTTCAATCAACAGTTGACTGGCCTCGCCTTGGATACACATACAATATACACTTACAAAAGGATATATAGTTCCAAATTTAGATACATAAATTTGTATGTACAAGGCTTATATAAGGCTTATGTAGCTTAGTAGTAGCTGTGGGTTAGAGTGTGTCGCTGATTTGAAGAAGTTGATGAATTATTCACTCAAAAATATAAAATATTAATTGACAAATAATGATTGCTGGCTGATTAACGAGGCCAACAATCCCTTGGTGTTTTTAAATACGTTACTCGAAGAGACCTATACGTGTAGGCACATACATATAGTAGACTCCAACCCCATAATCATTGCTGCGTTCTCGTCTAGTGGTAGCCCCTGGTGGAGTGAGCGAGATGTAACGGCCGGATGGTTGGTGGGAAGAGTGAGATAGAGATGTAGTGGACGGGATTTGGAGGTGGCTGGTACTATTCCCGTATGGGCAGACACAGTGACTACCACTGATGCGGCCTCCAGTTGCTGGGCTGCGCGCTCCATCTCCTGGATCATCCGTAATCCGTTGCACGATTCCAAATCAGAGCTCAAAGGAATGAAAGCATATATTTAAAGGCTCGTACATACATAGGTGCATGCTATGAGCATATATGTACAGTATTTGTTTTTCTTGGATTATCCCCAATTGATTTTACAGCCGCTGGGCAGCCACGGCCGCAGCCAAGGCCACGGCCACGGCCTTGGGCCATCG